TCCATGGTCACCTTCCCACCAGCTTTGTTACCAAGGTAATCTTTGGCTTGTCAAGGCCATTTTCCTCATTACAAAACGGCTTATTGGCTAGAAAAGTCTGTGTTTGCATAATGGCCTGTTTCCATTTAAGAACTTTGTTTTGTTGAATCCAAACTAGAATCTCAGCCCAGCATGGAGGTGGAACAGAAGGGAGGAGGGCTGTGAATCCAAAAGGAAGTTGCAAGCTTAGAAAAGCTCAAAAAAAAAAAAAAAAGTCTGTGCGTGGTTAGGCTCAGGCATGCGGCATAGAGGTTTATTTTGGCTTATTTTTCCTGCTTAAGTTTTAGGATGAGAGAAGAGACACTTTTATAAAACAAAATAAACATGTGTGTCAAAAACTTGTCCACTCTGATTATTTCAGCCAGATGTGCTGGAGGCTGTACTGGTTGCCTTTGACTAATAATAGGAGCTTTTATCTTTAGAAAGTGGGGTTCTCTATTCACTTTTCCTTTTTTTTGTTGTACTTTTCCTCCTTGCTGTTAGTCTCTATTCTGTTAGTTTTCCCTTTATTTGCCTTCCTTGCAGGTTTATGCACGCTCTTTCTTCTGCGTCCTTTCTCTATTTGCATTGTTGTACCATTTGCGGCGGAGAATGGGCAAATGGATTGAGAGTAGCTCCCTTGCGTTGCAGTTTGAGCTCTTTCAGTGGCACATCACACTGCTGCAGTCAGGATGCACAGTGTATGCCTACATTGCTCAATATTGCATATGCGCTTAAGGGAGAGTTAGAGTATCACCCATATATGCCGCAGGGTATTGCTGCAGTCTTCTGTCAGTCTGATTAACCAAGAGGTAAGGTTTTGTAGCCTGTATATGTCCCTAGTGTTTCTGATGTCTGAGCTAGTTTGTCCTGTGCTCCAGTGTAACCATACCAGGGAATATGGAGCCAGCTTGCGCATTGCTAATGTCGCACTGCTGTCCTGCGGGGAAAAAGAGGAGGTCTTGCCTCTCAGATGTGAAAGTTTATGGAGGTTTCAGCCATTGGTGGAAGTGCACCATTAGTTTGGGAATGGAGACGGTAGTACAATGAGATCGTAACTGGTGTAAGAGAATCATGTGTAAAGCATTCTTGCATTTTTTTAAAATGTTCCATAGAAATCTCTTGAAATATAGGGCTATTACAGGTTCAAAATTTCAAAGTGAGAGGCAAATTATTATTAGCTTGCCTTTGCCTCCCTTTTTCTCATCTTATGCATTTTCTGCATTGCTGGACATCCTTCTCACCTATGAAAAGCATTCTTTGCCTTCTAGTAGTGGGTATCTTCCACATCTATAATGTTCAGCATTGCAGATGTAAGCTGGACCAGCAACCAGAGGCTTGTTCCAGGCTGGCAATGGTTATATTTCCCCAAAATTGAAAATATTTGCTGAAGGAAACTGCTTTTGTTCACGTCAAATTAAAAGATTTTTGCTATTGCATTTAAGTTGCAGCGTAGAAATGAGATACACGGTCGCTTATAAGCAGTTTTTTGAAGATCAGAATGGACATTTATGTAAATCGCAAGGAAAGCGGATATACTCTGTAGGAAAACAATTATAGTGTGATGGACAAAGGTAGTTTTGCATGCCGAATACATTGATTCTGTAGCAGAAGGTTCTAAACAGTGAAATGCTGCTCTGGGTAAAAGGCTGGTGAGAAGGCTGGTTGTGAGATTAGATTTTTGAGGACTGCTGCACTAATGCACATTTCTACTGAGGAATTAGATTTTCGTTCTAATACGGGAACCTGCTGTAACACATTGATGATTAAAGTATACAGTTATTTTCTTAATAGATGATCCTTTCAGGGCAGGCTGCCTAAACAAATGTTTGCATTGAACAATAGTTGCTGGACTGAATAGGAAAGAGATATCTCTGTACTGTTGCATTTCGTAAACAGACTTTCTCAGAAAATAAAGTACCATTAGACAATAGCTTTCCCTCAAATATATTATTGAAAAAATATGGAGTTAGTTTCAGGATTAGGACTGCAATCATCCATGCAAAAGCTTTCATCAGAAGAAGGCCGTCTAAAATACGGTGTTATTACATACTTTTCTTATTTGACAATATCAAATTTCACGTTCAGACTTAAAAAACAAACAAACAAACAAACAAAAAAAAAACAAAAAACCCATCCTCTGCCAGTAGGTAACTTATGTGAACAAAAGAGAATAAATTTCAATGAGACTTTCCAGTGTACTGAAAAATTCTTCTTCGGTAAGCGTTCAGAAAAACACCATGTGTACTTTAATTCGATGAGATTTACCCCACAGAACAATAAGTACATACTTCTAAATTACAAAGGTTGGAACTCAAATGGTTGGATCCTAACTGCATATTTTTAAAATTGGATTGTTGTTATTGAGTGTTTTTAAAAAAAAAGACACTCATCCTCTGAATGCTGGAAACTCCAGAGATGAACAAAAAACTTAAATGACCTAAGAAAATAATGGATAATATTACTCTAGCCTGGAATGTAATGGGAAAGGAGTTTTCTCTCCCTTATGCCTATTTTTGTTTCCTTCTCTCTATCATAATACAGTTTTATGTGAAAAATTTTATGTACTGCCATTATCCTTTGTCAGCAGATCACATAGGTTATCTTCCTTACACTTTTATTACATACACACAATTATGTGTATATAGGTATAAGCTATGGAGCAATTTGTCTTCAGTGAAGTTCTTGAAGCAGATGGTTTTGGGGATATTTTGGTCAAAGCAGTAGTTAAGATATGGTTAGCATCTTTTTTTTTTTTTTTTTTCCCCCGTGTGTTCATATATCTAGGTAGGTAACTCTGTTTCAGTCTTTTGTCATTTACAATTGTTGAGTGGAAGCCAAATAATAGTAATTTGTAGAGGGCTGTATTTACGTGTTTTATAAGAACATTGACGAGAGAGTTCTGATGCACATCTCTCTCTCAGTAAGTAATTTAGGTTGTCTGCTAGTAATACAGTGACATTCTTTTGCATAGGCTTATCAACCCAATAGTTTTGAATGACATTAATTAGCCAAAGACCTCCTGAATCAAACAATGGGACTTGTTCTGTGTATACAAGATAATATTCCTAGGTACTGAACATATACCTTTGAATTAAGCTTTATAGAGTGGATTGTTATCCAAGGAGTAATGGTTGAACATCTTTTTGATTTTTTTGTTTACTTAATTCTATCCCTCTCTCTCTTCTCCCCATCTCCCATACTACTGAAATCAGTTTGTCCTCTAGACACAGGCAGTAAATTTGTGGTGATATTATGTATAGAGTATTTGATTTAGAGCTCACTTATTTAGCATATAATATGACACTGTTATTTTTTACTTTTCCGGTTAGTTTTCATTGTATTCTAGGTATATGACACTTTCTAGTTTTTGGCTTGTAATTAAAACACAGGATATATTTAGACTAGAATTATTCTATATTAACACTTTTTTTTTTTAATGGGCAAGCTTGTGACATTGCTTGGCATCAAATACTTGTATTAATTTGAGTACAAAATTCAGAATCACAAAATAGTTGAGGCTGGAAGTGACCTCTTGTGATTGTCTAGTCCTACTTCCCTGCTCAAGCATAGTCAGCTAGAGCTTGTTGCTCAGAACTGTGTCCAGTTGGGTTTTGGATACCTCCAAGGAAGGAGACTCCACAGCATCTCCGGGCAACCTGTTCCAGTATTTGACCACTTCATGTTGAAAAAGTGTTTTTTAATGTTCAGATGGAATTTTCCATGTTTCAGTTTGTGCCCATTGCAACTGAGCAGAGTCTGGCTCATTCTTTGCTCCCTCCCATCAGGTATTTATAGACACTGATAAGATCCCCCCTGAGCCGTCTCTTCTCCCGGCTGAAGAGTCCCAGCTCTCTCAGCCTCTCCTTGTAGGAGAGATGCTCCAGTCCCTTCATCATCCTTGTGGCCCTTCGCTGGACTTACTCCAGCGAAGTATGTTGGTGTCTTTCTTGCACTGTGGAGCCCAGAACTGGACCCAGCACTCTAGATGTGGCCTCATCAGTGCTGAGTAGAGGGCAAGGATCATCATCTTCAACCTGCTGGCAAGGCTGTGCCTACTGCAGCTGAGGATGCTGTTGGCCTTCTTTGCTGCAAGGGCACATTTCTGGCTCAGGGTTAACTTATCTTTCAGGACCCCCAGATCATTCTCCGCAAAGCTGGTCAGCCTCCATCCCTGTGCATGGGGATTATTCCTCCCCAGGTGCAGGACTCTGCACTTCCCGTTGTTGAATTTCATGAGGTTGCGCTCTGCCCATTTCTCCAGCCTGTTGAGGTCCCTCTGAATGGCAGCACAGCTATGTGGTGTATCAGCCATTTCTCCCAGGTTTTGTATCATCAGCAAATTTGCTGAGGGTGTACTCTGCCCCATCATCCAGGTCATTAATGAAGATGTTAAACAGTGCTGGACTGAATTTTGATCCCTGGGGGACACCACCAGTGATTGGTCTCCAGTTGGACTTTGTGCTGCTGATCAGTCCTCTGAGTCCGGCAGTTCAGCCAGTTTTCAATCCACTTCACTTCTTGAAAAACTGAAATTGCAGATAAATTTGCAACTTTGTCATCTTTGCTTTAAGCCTTGCTCAAGCCTTCAAGCCTAAGACAGTCTTCAAAATCTTTTTTGTTTTTAAATAAGTACTGACATTCCTGGTCCAAAAGAAATCATAAATATTGTGGGGGGTTTCTTTTCACAAAACTGTACAATGTTATTGAATTACTTGTATTTCAGGCAATATTACAGATATATATTTTTAAGGGTAGGATTTTCTGAATATAAATGTTTAAGGACTCTCTACAATTGGCAGGGAACTTGGGAGTTCTTGGAAGTACAGGAAAACTAGCAATGTTATGAAGAAGTATTTTATATGTACATGAAGGCACCCTTCTATATGCTACTTTCCAAATATGTAAAATTATCTTATATACATTATTTGGATATTGCATTAGTCATATTTGTTGGTTTTGTGTCCTTTTGTCTGCTCTAGGGAGTATGACTTCTGCAACTTCCCCTATCATTTTGAAATGGGACCCCAAAAGTTTGGAAATCAGGACTCTCACAGTAGAGAGGCTATTGGAACCACTTGTTACGCAGGCAAGTATTCTTGATTTGTTTTGCTTCTTTCCTTAGCATGATGTTATATGTATGTATTATATGTAATTATCTTACTAATATTTCATAGTAAAAGTTTAAATACTTTTGTGTTCATCTCTAGTGGAAAGTTCCATTCAAAGTTGTTTAGAAGTTCTTCTAAATAATTTATAATCTCAAAGTATGAAGAGGCAGTTATGCTCATCTTTCAAAAGCAGTTTAGAAATTTATGAAACGATCAATTTAAGTTAGGGATCTGACTGAACACATTCTTCTGGTGTCTTACAGTACAATAGAAGACAGATTCACATTAAAAACAAAAGGCTAAACCAATAAAATGAAAGAAGCTATTGAAACTTGTTTAATTTGGTACTGCAGTGGATTAGGAGTATGTGTCTAGCCATTTATGTTTCAACAACGTAAAAGTAACTTTACTAGTAGAAGCTAAAACATTTTTTAATCATTTCTAAATGGTCTGGGAAGAGTTAGATGAAAGTGATGCTAGGCAGTGTGTATAACATATACAATAGTGACGTGCAGCCTTTAACCTTGTAGGCCACCTTCTTTATTTTCAGTAGAAACCTTTGTGTATCTAGGCATATCAAGTTTACTGTGTCTGTACATATTTAAATGTGCTGTGAGTGCATGGAAGGAGGGAGGAGCAGCAGCAGCAAAGCAATCCAGAGAAATACGGCAGTAGAAAGCAAACATCTGTCGCTATCAGGGCAATTTATTGATTCTGTGGCCTGTTTCCTTTTCATTCCTGAGTAGCCATTAATGATAAGCAGCTGGTTACATAATTTTGTCCTAGTAAGGTTCAAAATGGGCAGTCCCATTATTTAAAGTACATAAGTCATTTTTCTCCTAGGAATGTGAGCTAACCGCATCTGTCCACCGGCTTGCTATTAGTTATTATCTTAGACATTGTGGACCTTAAAATTGGTCTGCTGGATAAAGATGTAGGCCTTCTTTTCCTGAGTGAGACCAAACTTAATGTTGTTGTTGTCAAAATAAAACTGATATTAAACATAAATCTCTGCTTTCTAATGCTCTAAAAATAGTATCTGTGTTTAATTCCTGTGCTGCTTAAAGTGATTCACTGTAGAAAGAAGTTATACCCTTTCTTATCTGTATTAAAAAAAAAAAAATTACTTTGCCTGGTCTGTCTTCAAGTTATTCAGAAAATACAAATCTAACACTGCACACAAGTTTTCAGATGCAAAGGCAATTGAAGAGATACAGGTTTCATTTCACATAGCTGTTGATAATGTGATAATTAGCTTTCTTTACAAACCCTGACAATTTTGTTGTTGATCTAGAAGACAGACTGTAAAATCTGGGAGTCTGTGTGATATTAACTGGAAAATAGTTTGAGTTCTCTCTTATTTTGATTCTGCTTCTGGGGTAGAAAGTGAAGCTGTTGCTGGCCTCAGAATCCGTTGTGAAAAGAGCAGTGGATGGAGTCTTCTGTGAGTGAATCTGCTGCTTTCCTTTCACTGTGCTTTTCAGCCAAAAAGCAAAAGTACTGTTCTAGTTTCATAGTCTGAAGTTGTCTGGGACAACTTTGGTTTAGCTAGATTTAAGTTTGATAGCACTCTTCTACAAATGCAGGTAAAGCCATTACAAGTTGAACTACAAGGCGTGGATTTCTTCAGTAGCAGAAACTAAGGTGCCCTGATCCTGAAATAGCTATTTTGATGAAGAGCAATAGACTAATGTTTTAGCAGTTTTTCAAGAAGGCTAGAGGAAAAAATGTACGGTCCAGAGGTGGAAGAGAAATGTTGAGCTACTGTATTATTCAAAGTTTACTGTTATCTCCAAACTGACTTCTTTATTTCATAGATTTATAGATAATATTCACATATCTAAAGAACCTGTTGAACATATAATTTCTCATTCTGGAGAAATAAATTATTTTACCTAATTTTACTCTATATTGAATCCAATAAGCTATGTTTGACTAATGCATGTTCTTGTGAGATGTACAAACATAATCTTGAAAGCATCAAGTGATTAAAACTGCACTACTTTCAGATTGTGTTTATTTGATGTACTTTTAGCTTAAGTTATTCAACTGTTCTTTTTATTTTTCTCAGATAAGCTGTCAATCATCCCAGTCTGAGGGTGGGTTTTTTTCCCCCTCGTCTTAAAATTGCTTATACAGTCTGATCAAGAGAAGAATAGTAACTCTAGCCTTGGAGAGCACTTTGCCCAAAATGACAGCCTCTAAAAGACACCTTGTTCCTGTTCCATGTTCACAGACTTGGACATTTTAAAAGAATTTTCAAACTACTCTACTTTCCAAAGAGAGCATCTAATTTGGAAGTTTCTCTTGGTAAATAAATGCATGAATAAAATATTTAATCCCTGCTCAGTTGGAACTCTGATGCCCATTGTAGGTTCATGAGAGCTGTTTAGTATAGACATCTTAGAGATGTGAAATTCTTTAATATTTCATTAAACGTAGGTCACTGGGTAGAGAAGAGAGGCTAATGGCCATAGACTGTAAGAGAACTGTCCTGGACAAGTCCCTGAGCAACCTGATCGAACTTGGAAGGTAGCACTGCTTTGATCAGAAGGTTGGAGTAGATGATGTTCCTGTCCCTTAAAGCCCAAATTTGTCTGATTCTATGATTTTTAGCTTACCAAAACTAATCCATATTTCATTTTAGCATTCACACTTGAATATTTAGACTATCCTCTTGTTGTCCAAGCTGCATAGGGTTTTGGGGAACATTTGAAAAAGAAAAAACGTCTTTGGCCTACAAAAATTTGAGTCAACCCTTTTTTGTTTATGTGAAGATTTAGGCTCTGAACTCAGAACGTAGGCACATACATAAGTGACAGATTTTCAAACTGCTAAGCATCCTGTGATTTCTACTGAAATTCTGAAGAGTAATACGGAAATACGGTGTGGATTTGAAAAAGAACAACTGAGTGAGTCGGGAGAGTGGTGCATTAAGCTGGATTTTAGACAAGCTCATTAGTGTTCCAAATGAGAAAATATGGATAGCCTATGAATTGATTTAGAAAAATTATAAGACAGCAAGGTTGTCTGAGCTGGAGGCAAAAAAATCCATTAGCTGATCATGAGAATGCATTAGAAATGACAGAATTGCATTTTTTCTAGGAAGCCTTGAACTAGCAAACTAATTAAAACTTTCTCTAGCTGTCAGAGATCTAAGAGAATTGGAACTTGCCGGGGCACCCGTTCTCCCCTTGTTGTCATATTTAAAGAGCAACAGATATGCCCTGCCACCTGTCTTTTTCACATTACTGTTATTGAGGTGTTGTAAGAAACATATGATTGAGAAATTTATTAGAATTTCTCCTCAAGTATATTGAATTTATCCGATGATCGCAATATGTTTCTGTTCTCTGGCTTCAGTATTGCAGTTACCTAAAAATATAAGTATATTATTGCTTGTTAATTTTGTTTTGTGGGAATTTGTAACAATTACCCTTTTTTACTATATATCTTAGTATTTTTAATTCCATGAGGTTTTTATATGGAAACGTATAACTAAAAATATTTTCTCAAGGAACAGTGCCTCTTTTTCTCACTTTTGTACATAGTAACCAACAACTTAGCTTGTCAGACTGTGGATGGTGTCCATGGATGGTTTGCGGATTTGGATAAAATCAATGAATTATTTTTTTTTTTAGGAAAGGCTTAAATGCCCTTTCCTGACCTTTTGTGTGTAGTTTCCATTACCCTTTGTGGAGATTGCCCATAAGGATTCAGTAGCTTTTCCTAGGTATTGTAAATGGAAGTATGGAGTGTGTAGTATGGAAGTTCTATGAATGTACCTGTTTTTCCATAGCCATGCCGCAGCAACTTTTTGGAAACTGTAGTTCCTAAGTTTTAATTGCAACTATTTTTACCTTCTTTATCTTTTCATTTCTTTCTAGTAAAATTTTTGTGGAGTGTTCATGGATATTTAGCCACTGAACAGAATGTTTTTAAACATGTTATTAAAACGGCCTTCAGTTGTATGTTTGCTCTTTTATTTTTAAGCAATTTTTAATATGGCAATGAGCCTTTGCTGGTGCACTTAGAAGTCTTAGCATTATTTTTTTTTCCCTTTGGGTAGGAGAGTAGTGCTGCAGCATTTAAAAACTAAATACTAACAGAACTATTTTGTGTTATAGTTTTACCCATGTACTTAAAGAAAAAAGTACATATATTAAATATATTATATTAAATATATTTTGCAGTTTTGTAATTACATATTTCATAAGCCAAGGTCACATATTATTGGCCTTCTAGTTCTGCAGAAACAATTCTGTATGTCAGTTCATGTGTTTTTGCCAACAGAAATTTAAGAAGTTTCTTTCATTCACAGCTACTGTACTAATGATATGTTGCATGGCAAATGAGGACCACTAATTAATCACAGTTTTTGTTTTTTTTTCTATAAAATAATAGTTAGTAAAATTAAGTAGTCCATATCTATAAAATAAACAGGCCATCAGTTATAATTCTAATTTGCGCAACGTATGCGTGAACTCATAGCAGTTATGACTGGCATGATACTTTGCAATTTCTCCTTCTTTCACTTTCATGTTGCCTTTAGTAGCATGTAATCAAATTCCACAAAAGAATCTCACTTTTCAATTTAAAGAACTTGTGCCTAATCCAATTCGTTGTGTATTGTATTTTGAAAATGGATCGATTTCTGTATTGCTGTGCGGAAAATATTTTATTCCCAGCCATCCCGATTATTCAGATGTTGTTTGTAGTTAGTGAGCCTGGACTTTTATTATATTTGAACCCTAAATCTGGTACATTTACTAATGTTGGCAGGAAATATTTTATTGATTACTATTGTCACGGAGCCAGTAGTGATGGCTGCTTCTCCTCTGCCACACATGCCAGTATAGAGAGATGGTGAGAAATTTTATGTTATTTTTCTAACGCAGCTGGAAATGCAAGTCATGCACGGATGCTAATGGGTTTGGAGGAAATGGTGACTGAAAAAGCTTATGGATAAAATGGACCC